CGGTTCAGATGTCACGGGCAGTACCAACTCAGACAACCCTTACCACCAGGCACCAAATAAAGCAGAATTCTAAAAGACAATAGTAACAGACTGTTGCTAGTTAAAGATAAATAAACAAAAGCAAAGTAAACTGATACACCTACTGCCTATGCTATTCATGAGCACTGCAATTCACCTGAAAAACATGCACAACAGGCTTTACTTGCCAGAACAAAAGGATCTCATGGTTCTGCACCCACTCATCTACAAAAATAAACAGTTCAATAATCAGAACTGGTGAATATCTGAAAACTGCATCCTCCTCCTCCTCCTTTATATGGTTAGAAAAGAAATAAAAATAGTGCTGCAGTCAACTTTCCATTTTGTCAGATTAAAAAGTTCAGCTGATAAAAAGTTGCAATATTGAGCACAGCTGATCATCAAGTTTAAAAAATTTCTTCTCTTTTCCTTCAATATTTTATTAACCTCAGTGATCAAATTCATAGATAAAGAAAAAAAAAATACCCGTGTCACAAATACAGATTCTTTGCACATTTTCCGTCAGGAACTGATCGTCGGGCGGCACGGGCACAGGTCCATCAGTATAGCTTAAACTCCTCTTTTCAAGCATTCTAAGCATTTAACAAAAAGGAAACCAAAAGAGACGTTAAAACGAACATATAAGACCCAATTAAGATACAACTGAGAATCATTGCTCGAAAGTCAAGATTAATGGAGTTTAACAGCACACCTCTCAACGGCTGACCGTACATCGTCAATCCGAGCTGTGCTTGAGGGCTTGAGGGAGACTTCAACTGAAACCCACAATCAATTTTCTTTAAAGAAAGTAAATTTACAACTAAATCATCTACACAACCTCAAATTGGAACAATTTGAAACTCAAAATGATGAAGAGGAAGTCGAACGGACCTGAAACAAGTACTTTGTCATGGGGAAGACTAGGAGAAGGAGCTGAGTCTACCGCGATGACGCCGTTTTGGTCCGGAATCTCCTTGTCTTGGGGGTTTTGCAGAGAGATCTCCATGGGACTGGGAGCACTCATTTTCGGGTTTAGGGTTTGAGAGACTATGAAGCGGAAAGCATCTCACAGAGAATCGAGGCCAGCTTGGAGGGGATGAGCCAAACCCTAGAGCCCAAAGAGAAATTCGGTAAATTGTTCTTCAAAATGGGCGGGAATATTTTGAAACTTCGTGTCCAGCAATTTATAATATACATTTTCTTTTTCAAATAAATTATATCTTTTTCTATTAGTTTTGTAAGATTTGATTTTTTATTATCTATACTAGTCTCTCAGCAAGCGCTTCGGCCCTTGTGAGAGGTATTTTTTTTATAAAAAAAAATTATTTATTTTAGAATTAAAAAAGTTAAAAATTCATAATCACATTACCTTTTTTTTTTTTATATAAACGAACTCAGGTGCTTAGTGGGAATCACATCCGCTCTAACCAACTTGACTAAGTCCATATATGCAACGTTACTTTCTTTGTAACCATAGGCTTATTACGAAGTTAACCTTTTTAGTTCATAAAAGGGTTTACCTAATTAAATTATTAATTTTCTTAACTAGTTACATTTGTTTTCAAAATATAGACTTTAAAAAATATAAGAGAGATGTCTTTTCTTTGGTAGCACCATGAATGGAAATGGGGCCTTGCCTAGCCCACTTTGTATGCTTATTTTCCATTTTGTATGTGTTCACCTCGCATGCCCATGAAAGATAAAATCATCTTGTCACCAAAAGGATGTGATTTGCCAACTTATCTCACTCTTTTCTAATGGTAGCGATGTGAGGCTCTAACTTTCCCAAGATAACATGGCCCATACAAGGCTTTGTTAGAGAAGAAAAACAACCATGAAGAAAAAGTTACAGCCTGGGGATGACAGAGAACTTGAAATTCTCAAGGCTGTGGCACAAGCTTGGTACAGCCACTCCAGCGGCTCTAGGCCCACGTCCGAATTTGACGCTCACCGGAGAAATTTCAGAGGCAGATTACCGTCTCGGTTCAAGCTCGAAGCGATGAGAAAGTCTACATCAGCTAGTAATCAGGCTAGTGGATATGCAGCATGGGACTTTGGGCAGTCCCTATGGGATGCTTATGAGATTGTGGCCGTGTCCAAAAGGTTAGAGACTGGGTTATTCGTTGATGAAAATCCATTCAATCAGCTGGATAGTCAGACCCGAGTCATTAGGAGGCGTAGGGAGAGCAAGCACAGCCTCAGAAGTTTGTTTGATAAAATGTCTTCGAGGAGATTTAATGAGGCTGATGTTCCACCTGATAATGATACTTAATTCTGGTCCTTCTGTGAGGTTCTTTTCTTTCTTTTTTTTCTTGGCAGGATTTTCGTTCTTGTTAATGTGAATTGCAGCTCAATCTTACCTTACCATCGCAATTTTCTTCTAATCTAGCTAACAGGGGAATGGGGTGGGGAGAGCTTATACTTGGGTCCTTGTGCATATAACTTTTTACACCAGAAGTACATTAAAAAGAGAAAAGTCTGAATGCAATTTTTTGTGTGTTTGTTTGTGTTGTTATGTGCTTAATTTGTTATGTGCCAGTGTACCTATGCTTAAAAATAATTCTCTTTTGCTTTTTTCCGAGTTCCTCCATGTATTCTTTATGGCTTCTTATCTATGCTTTGTGTTTTGATGCTACTGGTGGTTTGGTGAGATCTGTAGATGATTGATTTTGAAGTGACAAGATATGCAAAACTATATTCAGTTCTATCAGCTTTTATCATTACCTAAATAAGGCTTGGATCAATGCTTTCTTTTGGGGATCAAATACCCTACAAGTTGAGACCTTTGCTTTAGAATCTCTTCAGATGCATAGTCCAATTTGATCTTGAAAATGATAAGTTATTCCCCACATTATTGTGGTGCTGGTCCTGGAACCTGGTAGATGCCCTGCCATGGGCTTCAGATCAGGTGCTCAAAACAAAGATGGCATAAGACATGTGGAAAGCACGATTCGATTCGATATAAACATATTTTCCCCCACATCACGGTCCTCTTGTCATCTGATATCCCAATGAATTGGCTGAACTTAACTACTTTAGGTTGGTAGCTCAAGCCCTATGCTAACCATACATATCAATATTGCAGCACTTGGCTGAGGCAGGGCTCAAGCAAGCCAGTTAATTTTTGGTACCCATGACCTATCAAAGAAAACCCTTCTGAAGGGCTCTTGGAGGCCATTTTTCTGCATAACTTGTACCTCTAGTAGTATTAGTATATGTATAGTCGTCCATTCCTTCAACTTCAACAGAAAAAGTTAAAGCAAATGGGAGGCCACATCTCTGATGTTCATACGGCCATTGCTTTGCTGCATTAATAACAATAGCAATATACCAGCAGAGGGGCAATAACAGCAAACATAACTGTAACTTTAACTTATTTATTTAATAAGGGAAATGCATTTAACTTGACAATGGCATCCTACTAAGAGCCAAGGAACTTCAGCATTTATAAAAGACAGGCACTTTATTTATGTAACTGGTGGTGTAGGGTAGCACACTAGTTTATGAGATACGCCTGCCAGTCATCCATGACCGACGCTCTCCGAAAGCCTTAACGCCCTTTGAAGGTCTTCCACTTGCACAATTCAAATCCCTTGTGGTTGCCCTGGATGAAGCCGTCAGCTTGAACATCGATGGTTTCCTCAACTGACTTGACCTCAGGGATGCGCTGATTTTGCTGGTAACCGCCATAGTCCTCTCTTACACTGGCCTGGTTGTTGAAAAGGGTCTGGCCATAGTGAGGGACTTCAGTGAGAACACTAGGGGCTCTTGCAATCCTTTGAAGATGAGAATAATAATCTGAGCCATTCTGGCGCTTGGTTGGGTTCTCGTAATTTCTGCTCATTGTTCTGCAATCACAAGTTGAAAGTATTAGGAGCATTGAGCTTCAATTTATAGACAGAAATGCTTTGCCTTTATTCTAAAACGATAAGTGTGGCATCTAATTCTCCATATTTTTGTCTATATCAAATTGATTCAAGCATATGAATCGAATAACGCTGGAAGGAGGTGAGTCTAAAATTGGATATTTTTTCTTCTTTTTCAAGCTTACATCCTCCAAAGGCATAATATATTAATGGGTCTCAAGATTTGTCTCCATCATGATGTTAAATTCCTAAACTTTCTCAAAGCTTAGCTGGCCTTCAATACCACACTAGATTTTTACATTAGAATCTTGAAAAATGAGCAATTTTTTCTTTGGTTTAGTAAATTCTTATTTGAATGTGTGGTCCGAATTCAGTCGAAGAACATAACGTACCAAATAAGCTGCAACATCACATTTTTTTGCATATACTACTATTATAGCCACGCTATTATCGTGACGGGACGATTTAAGAGCTTGACAAATAACCCAATATTGAGCAAAATGGCATTGACAGCCTTTCCTATCTCTCCCGCCAAACCCTTAACTGCCATAACGACCATTTCCCAATTCCCACACAATCCTAAAACCCTAATTCTCCAACAATGCAAAACCACCAGAGACCTCAACCAAGTGCATGCCCACCTGATCAAAACCCGCCTTCTCCTCAACCCCGCCATCACCGAAAACTTCCTGGAATCTGCCGCCATACTCCTCCCCAATGCCATGGACTATGCTGTCTCCGTTTTTCACAACCTCGACGAACCCGATACTTTGGTTTATAACATTATGATAAGGAGCCTCACATACAAGCAGTCCCCTCTTGAAGCCTTTCTTTTGTTTAAGAAAATGCAGGAAAGCTCGGCTGAACCCGATGAATTCACTCTTTCTAGTATATTGAAGGCTTGTTCTAAACTAAGAGCATTGAGAGAAGGAGAACAGATTCATGCCCACGTTGTGAAATGTGGGTTCATGTCAAATGGGTTCGTTGAGAACACTTTGATTCATATGTATGCAACTTGTGGGGAACTTGAGGTTGCCCGCCGTGTGTTTGATGGATTGCCAGAAAGGGCTCGTATGGCGTGGAATTCGATGTTAGCAGGTTACATGAAGAACAAGTGTTGGGACGAGGTGGTGAAGCTATTCCATGAAATGTTGAAACTGGGTGTTGGGTTTGACGAGGTTACATTGATTAGTGTTTTGACAGCATGTGGAAGACTGGCCAATTTGGAACTGGGAGAGTGGATTGGTGACTATATAGAGGCAAATAGACTCAAGGTTAACATTGCTTTAGTCACTTCTCTGGTTGATATGTATGCTAAATGCGGTCAGGTAGAGACTGCAAGACGATTCTTTGATCAAATGGATCGAAGAGATGTTGTTGCTTGGAGTGCAATGATTTCTGGTTATAGCCAAGCAAATAGATGCAGGGAGGCGCTTGATCTGTTTCATGACATGCAAAAGGCAAATGTGGATCCCAATGAGGTTACCATGGTTAGTGTTCTTTATTCGTGTGCTGTCCTTGGAGCTTTGAAAACTGGTAAATGGGTTGAGTTTTATATAAAGAAGAAGAAACTGAAGCTCACTGTTAATCTTGGAACTGCACTAATTGATTTCTATGCAAAATGTGGGTGTATAGATAGTTCAATTGAAGTATTTAATAGGATGCCTTCAACAAACGTCTTCTCCTGGACAGCACTAATTCAAGGTCTTGCTAGTAATGGACAGGGAAAAGGGGCTCTTGAATACTTTCAATTGATGCAGGAGAAGAATATAAAACCAAATAATGTGACTTTCATCGCAGTTCTTTCTGCTTGTAGTCATGCAGGTCTGGTTAATGAGGGTCGAAACCTTTTTACCAGCATGATTAAAGATTTCGGAATTGAACCAAGGATTGAGCACTATGGTTCTATGGTTGATATATTGGGTCGAGCTGGGTTGATAGAAGAGGCATATCAGTTCATCAAGAGCATGCCTATCCAACCCAATGCAGTTGTTTGGAGGACATTATTTGCTTCATGCAGAGCACATAAAAATGTTGAAATTGGTGAAGAATCATTAAAACACATAATCAGTTTGGAGGCCCCTCATAGTGGAGACTACATTCTGCTATCAAATATTTACGCATCAGTAGATAGGCGCGAGGATGCTATTCAGGTGAGAAATCAAATGAGAGAAAAGGGAATAGAGAAGGCTCCGGGATGTAGCCTGATTGAGTTGGATGGAGTGATTTATGAGTTCTTTGCTGAGGACAAAGCATGTCCACACTTGGAGGAGGTTTACAATGCAACTCACGACATGATGAAACGGATTAAGGAAGCTGGTTATGTGCCCTACACAGCAGATGCAAGACTAGATGCAGAAGAAGATGATAAGGAAGCTTCAGTATCCCACCACAGTGAGAAGTTGGCCATTGCCTTTGGTCTTATCAGAACACTTCCTGGAACTACGCTTAGAATATCTAAAAATCTTAGAGTTTGTACGGACTGCCACAATGCAACAAAGATGATATCAAAGGTATTTAACAGACAAATTGTTGTTAGGGATTGGAACCGCTTCCATCATTTCAAAGAAGGGTCATGTTCCTGCAATGACTATTGGTGAATTCTACAACATGTCTTGTATTTGAGATGTAGTCTACAGGCGTTTCTAGTGCATCCTTAGTCCCAGCCATGCAATTCCTAAAATGTTTTAAGATATTTTTGAATTAAAGAAAATTTTCCAGTTAGTGTAATTCACATTCATGATATTGATTGAGCCAATTCTTGGGATGCAATTCAAATTGTCAGTTGGGATAAAATCACGTCCAAAGTTTAAATTCAAGCATCACAATGAAACCCAGCTCCAAACTATTAGCTACTAGATGTTAAAATATCGAATCGCAGGTAAGATCCTACATGTTGACTAGATCCAGTGGAACATTCAATAGATACAAAGTGGGGAATTCATCTGACAATTGAACTTGATGAGCATTGATTTTGATCAGCTTAAACATTTACCATGTTAACAAAATGTACTTAATCGGACTAGATTCTATTGTTTAGGAGCCCTCCGAACATTATTGACCCGAAGGAAGGGCAGAGGTTATAGATCTTCTCATCAACTAATCAGCACTCAATAACACTGGTTAAAGCAGAAGAAAAATCCTTTTGGCTTGTCTTCCATTTCTCCTTTGGGTGTCTCCCCTGAGCCATCGCGTGCTGCCATCAAGGAGCTTGTGCCAGGAGACTCCGGTGGCAAGACAGTGTTCTCAGTGAAAATTCGAGATGGAATTGCAGGTTCAGGAGGAGATATGGTGTAAAGATAATCAAGTAGCATTTGAATTATTTGGCTGAAATTAGGTCGGGCATTTGGGTCCTCCTGCCAGCAGGAAGTTAGGATGATATTCAATTCCTCCGGGAGGTTCCCATCAGCACTA